TTTTCTAGAAAATTCTTTACTATTTCTGCAACATTTTTATCAATCACCATCTTAGTTTTCCATTGAGGCATTCTTTTTATGTTTCCATGAGTTCTTGGCAGAAGACCATTGTTTATCAGATGATTTCTAATATTTTCAAAATAAGTTCTGCCAATCCCTAACATATTGAGGTAAGTTTCTTGACAAAGAGGTGTATTATGATCTCAATGATAGAAAGTTTTTTTATTAGATCTGGTTTTCTTTTTAAGGTGCTTGTTGATCCACCATCCATTGCTTTAATCTGTGCCATTAAAAATATGTCTTGTTCAAACTTGGAAAGAGCTTGAAAGGACTCCCTTAATTCTGCAAATTCTTTCTTGGGAATTCTTGAAGAACAACCACAATCACAACCTTTTTCTAAAAAATCAATTGCTTTTTGATATTCATTAGAACCATTATACTTATTATTACTTTTCATATGCACCTATCCCTATATATATAATTTTATGTTCACTTTGTAGGTTTTCATTTATTTTAAAATTGAAGAGATTTTAAATTGTCCTGTGGTGACAAGCAAAGTAGGCAGAAAAGAATTAAATTTGGGTGGATCTGCAAATAAATATTTTCAAGTATATATTCAATGATTGATAAAAGAGAAAATAAAAAACTTCAACTGGTTCCATGAAAAATAATTATGTTAGATTTAAATTATTTATTATTACTAACAATTAAATACAAGAGAATTATTGTTATTTCTAAAAAAACAATTGAAGAAATTGTTGTTTTGTGTTGATTATACTAAAACAGTAAAACAGAATTTTTTTATCTTAGAATTAGTGCACAAATCAGTTTGTAGTCTTCTGAGATTTTTGCTGTAGTGTATCATTTGATCTAACAAAATCTATTTGAAATCTACTATTAAAAAAAAAAATGGTTAAATTTATTTTTTTTTTGATCAAAAAAGTAATTTTAAAATATATAAATATGATTGATTTTGGACTGAGGTTTATGTAACAAAAAAAATAAACAAGGCTTAGCTTTTTATTATTTAATCCTTTCCTCATATACAAATTCCTTTATCACAATGATCATTCAATACATTTGATATCATCACTGACATAACAAACAATTGCATCACCCAGGTAGTAATGATACCAAGGCCATGCATAAATGAAACTCTTAACAATGCATGTCTACCCAGATCTCTGGGATTCACAAAATAAATTATTTTTCCTGATTATCAATTATGGTTTCTTATGAATAATAAATCTGATGTTGATCACAAGTGTCAGATTTAATAAAACTTTCCTATTACAAACATGTGGTTATGTGCTCTTAACACGCCTCATAACTGTGGATTTTTTTCCATGGGTGAGGTCCCCCACATGTTGGAAGGGTTTGGACAAAACTTTCCCTAATCCTCCTCTGGCTGTCACCACATGAGCATTGATCACTGATGAAGATCAGCATTTGTGAGTTATACCCTCTCTAGAATAAAATTGGTGTCTGTAACTAGTTTGAAAATTCTGCAACTTGGGAAGTTGCTGTTTTGGATTTCCCTGAATTCAAAGTTTTGAGTCCTGGGTTGCTGTCTTTTTGGTGACACCAACAACCCTACCCTCATTTAAATAACAAATTCAGTTGGTCAAATAAAAATTTAGAGAAGCAGAAAATATGGGAATGATTAATTTATGCATAACATACCAAACAAAACCTGAACCATTTTATTTCACAGCTTTCTCCTTGATGCCAATGATCATGGTGACTATCACAATAGGAGTGGGCAGTGTCAAACTGCCATCATTATACTGTCAAGATACATACTCTCATTGAGCTACACTCCTTTAACCTAGGGTGGGTTATATGGGAAAAAGCTCACATTTAAATAACAAATTCAGTTGGTCAAATAAAAATTAAAGAAACAGAAAATTTATGGGAATGATTAATTTATACAAAACATACCAAACAAAATTCGAACCATTTTATTTTACTAACATCAGAGCCCAAATGCATTTCAGGGCCACCAATCCTGCTCTAAATTGCAACCTCCTGTGCTTGAAACGAGCTGCAGATTCTCTTAATATCCCTCCAGAGTTTGTGACTTGGTCACAGAGCCATCATTAGAGGTAGGATTTGCATAAGTGTCCTTGACAATGAATGCA